AAGCAGGTTTTGTTCTTTCTTTCGACCGGCAGTTATCCTTCAAGAGTTACAGCGTGTTGCCTGGTGGACAGGTTGGGAAAAAAATATCACACTGAAGTTTCATCTGAGCCCTTAATCAAAAAAAAAAAAAAACGGACATTATGCAGCTCTCTATCAGAGTCTGTGACCTGCCTCCACTCGCATCGCAGTATAAAAAGGTTTCATTTATTGTCCATGACTTGAGAGATCAGGAAAAGCAAAGCAGTATGCATAGAGAAATACATCCAAACGTGAGACAAACAGTGACAGAATCTCTTCGCTTGTGACTTTTACTCTTGTGAGGTAGAACAACACACTACTAAATACAGTATTGTAGTATTACAACAGTATTTCAGTACTGCAGGCTGGCTATCAGTCTCCTCCCTGCTTTATTAGTTTATTGATTGTAAAACAAGTGCTTCATTCATTTCTTATGAAATGTAGAGGCTCTTTAAAAGCTTTTAAAAGAGGCATCATTCTTTTGGGATCAGACAATTTGAGACTATTTCATTCAGTTGAAAATCTGTCACAGTTGTATTTTGCCACTAAGAATGAAAGAACAGCACAATAAAAAATAAAAAAAAGTCATCAAGAGTTGCCTCCTCCAGACAGCAGACATTTGTTAAGACGGGGCTCAGTGCCCTCTTTTGCAACCTGGATATTAAAGTGCAGGTTTTAGGGTATATTGTTGACAGTTTGTACATAGAACATAAATAAAGCAACGCTTGGGTCAGCAAAGAAGATCTTCAAATATAGTCTATACACATAGATATAAATCTATGCATGCTGTCTTCATATCCATCAACAAAACAAAAAACAATTGCATGATAAAGCCCTAGATATTCAAACAAACCAAACTGCATTTCCAGTAAGCTAAATGGATATTGTTAGGAAACGGGACTGTTTCCCATAAGGCTCTTATGAAGTTGATCTCTCTTTCACTGTCCTTAATGGAAGATTTGGCAAGGTAATGTTCTTGTATATATATCTGTAAAAGTTGAGCGTGGTTCTTTTAAATCTTTCTATGTGCTAATGTATGGATGTAGTCAATAGTTTTACTCTTTCCTTTATAGTAAATGCCACTGAGGGATTTGTATTTCTCCGCGCTAGCAATAAGCAATCACATGCTTAACACACTCTTTTAACTAGCTCTTTTAGAATACCAAAACATGCTTCAAATGGTGCACAGCTTTAAAAAACGAAACTAAAAAAACTAAAAACGAGCTATGCGTATGTGCTAACGCAGGACTGTTAAAACATTTTTTTTTTAAATAACGCAGGACTGTTATTTTTTCAGAAACTCGTACCAAATATCTTAATCACCATCAACTGTCGCAAATCAACGACAAGTGGTGCTAAAGCTCTCCTCTTTATTCACGGGAGTGTTAACAGGATGGTTCACCCAAAAATGAAAATTCTGTGATCATTTACTCACCAAGTTGTTCTAAACCTGTAGTAGTAGTTTTTCTTCTTCTGTTGACGCACAATACGAAGTTGGTAAACAGACGTCTGTTGAAAAAACCAGCATATGCTGGTTAGGTATGTTTTGACGCTGGGATGCTGGTTTAAGCTGGTCCTTTGCTGGTTTATGCTGGTCCTTTTGCTGGTTTATGCTGGTCCTTTGCCGGCACATGACCAGCATAAACCAGCAAAAGGACCAGCATAAACCAGCAAAGGACCAGCTTAAACCAGAATCCCAGCGTCAAAACATACCTAACAGGGTTTTTTCAACAGGGACAGTTGCTGGTAGCCTTACGTACATAGTATTGGGGGGAAAATACAATGGAAGTCAATTTTTTTTGTTGTTACCAACCTTCTTCAGAATATCTTTTGTGTTTAACAGAAGAAATTAACTAGGCTACAGGATTGGAAAAACTTGAGGGTGAGTAAATGATAACACAATTTTCATTTGTGTGTGAACAATCCCTTTAAACGAGACAAAAGACAAAACAAACAAAAAAACAAGGCATGTGTATTTTTTACTCCGCTTTCGCTTCAATTAATGCATTCACTATTTATCTGTCAGGAAGGAACATCTTTACTCGCGTTCTCATACTCCGGCGCAGCGCGTATTTTCTAGACGTGTCAATTTTTTCCCTCCGCATGCTCTCCGTTTCTAAATGATTGAATAGTATGAGAAGCCAAACAACCCAAATGTGGGACGAAACAGCACGGTATTAAAGTGTTAAAGTGATCAGTTACAACAGCGCAGCACGAACATTACTCTCCGCAGAAGTTCGTGTTTTTTTCCTGCACATAACATAATGAAGAGTTATTACATTTATTTTGCTTATTATCTTTCATATTACTACATGTAAACAGTAGTGTTAGCTACTTTGAAGCACGTATAGCCTATATTTAGTAGTCACGTTCACAGCAGAAACTTCCATTATCCTCTTAGCAATGTTAAAGTTAAATAACAACGTTCCCTTTACTAGAGACAACAAAAATCCCATATATATACTAGGCTATTTAATAATAGTTCAAATTTAAAATGGGCAATATTGTGCTGAATGTAGAACTTGACGACAACAACAATAATAACCAGGTACAAAATAAAAATATATATATATACTAGAAGCTGGGTGTGCTTCTCAAGAGGACTATGGTATTGTAAATTTATTAAAGTCTTATATATTTTATATTTGCAGTTTTTCAAAGTACAACTGTTTACATGTAGTAGAAAGGTAAGCAAAAGAAATGTAATAACTTAATACTGATCTTCATTATGTTATGTGCAGGAAAAAAACACGAACTTCTGCGGAGAGTAATGTTCGCGCCGCGCTGTCATTTCGGTGGCGCTAGTAAACACGTCCTCTCTGCGCTGTCGAGTCGGTCGCTTTAATACCGCGCTGTTTCGTCCCACATTTGGGTTGTTTGGCTTCCCATAGAATAGGCCTAATGCCTGCAGCGTTATGTATGTAGATTACTCTTTAAAGAGCCCTAAAATCAAAGCGCTGTGTTGTCTTTGTCAGGCCTGGGGTGACCTGGGGTGTACTTTCGGCAGAGCACGGAGTTGAGACGACGAGATGTGGTTTAGCTGCTCGAGCTCTTGTCGCCGCGGAGCACGTTGACGGATTAAATGTGACAGGCAGAGAATATGCTGTCAGAGACAGCTCCTCTGCGCTGACAGCACCGAGCTCCGCGCAATTACACGCAGGTGTTTACCCATTTAGACGGCCCAAAAGCACTCATTAGAATTTGCAGAACTCCAAACTGCACTTTTACCCTGCCAAAAAAGAACTCGTGACTTTCACCACAAACCTGCAGCGCTTTAGGACAGAGCCGAAGCCAAAGTCTAATCACAAAGTCGTTAATTACTAGCCGGCGGACTTTCGGAGGGGGCATTAGCATGTAAACAGATATAGTTCGTTCATACTCGACTTTGCGAGAGACGCGCTGTCTTATGATAATTGTCTGTTTGTAATGTCAGTCAGATGTAATGGCTAGCGCAGTGCTCGTGAACCGACTCGTGCTTGAATTACCCATAAGCTGCTTTGTGACTTTCTTAACACTTCTCTTTTGAGCTATGATGTAGAACTTTGCTTGTTGGTTTTCAATTAAAGTCTTAGGGTTTACTGTTACTGTGTGCGGTTTGGTCAACCAATAGCAAAAGCATATGTGTATGTTTATATGCGCTCTTGTAAATCTGTTAGCAGGCACTGCTTGGCCGCCCTTATAGGTACAAAAGGGCCATTTTTTGGTGTCTTAAGCAAAATACTGAATTTGGCCTGTGTTGATGACAAAAAAAGGTTTGCTTGGATCCTACCAATGTTTCTACTCTCACATGAACAAGAAAACCTGGAGTCTTAATAACAGTCTGCATGTCACCAGGATGCTTCCTGTGGTTATAAATGGGTCTTTCTACTAGGGGAGAAAAATGTTACCAAACGATTTCTCACTGATATATTTTCCCCAGCAATGAGGAAAGTAATTTGGGTTTCTAATGTGTAGTATCTTGACATAAAGTTGTATGTTGAACTGAGAGCACCACACTGGTTTACAGACACTAAATGTGCTAATGAAACCATATGAATTGTTTGCAGGCAGAGCTGTATCTATTTATGTCCTGTTTCAGCTTTGTAAACCATATAAAAACTCCCATATATGTAACAATGACTTGGTTTTTTAACTTTCTTCACTGGCTGATACGAGCAATTAAAGTACTAATCATTAGTGAATGCTTTTTTACAGCTTTTTTCTCTGGTGTGAATAATTCCTGTCTTTTCCTGGTGTTATGGGATATTTTTTTGCTAATCCATTTGCAGAAGGAGGAGCTAGATCAGGGCTGTCTAAACTCGGTCCTGGAGGGCCGGTGTCCTGCAGAGTTTAGCTCCAACTTGCCTCAACACACCTGACTGGAAGTTTCTAGTATGCCTAGTAAGAGCTTGATTAGCTGGTTCAGGTGTGTTTAATTAGGGCTGGAGCTAAACTCTGCAGGACACCGGCCCTCCAGGACCGAGTTTGGACAGCCCTGAGCTAGATAGTTTGGCTTTATATGACTAGAAGAGGAAATTCTGGCTTCTTAAATGATGTTTGTTACTTAAATCTTTGGAACTTTATAGTCTTTTTTACAGCAGTTGTGTGTATGTGTGTGTGAGTGGGTGTGTGTGCATGCACGCTTTTTTGCGCAGATGATTTAGTACTGCTATGTAGTGTTGTATTGACAGTTGTTAACTGACGATTTCCTTCGAGCAGTTTGCCAACTGATTTCTACTCATGGACAATCGCTTATCTGATTCTTGTTGTGTAGAGCCTGTGTAAATCCAGTTTGTTTGTGTTTTACTGCTTTCAATTCAATAAAAAACATTTGAAAATCTTGAAAGTTGTTCTCTGCAACTTTTTCGTGAGAGACACCCTGAATTGGGTGGACCTAAACAATATCCTGTAAAAGCAATTGGGCACGAGAAGCGTTTCAGTGGTGGGATTGTTATTTTATTTTTTATAAAGTTGCATTTTCTCGCAGAAGTACATTCAAAAAACAAAACAAAAAAAACAAGGTTTAGTGACTGTTAGGTTTTCAAGAGTTGACGACCAGCTTGAAAAACAACAAAATATTTACAAAAAATACATAAAATGTCAACTGGAAATTTGAAGCTTTATGATAATAATATTACATAAGAATGAATGCGCTCCAGTCTGCTTCAAATCTAAAACCGAGTTCATGCCAAACCCCCATAAAGTGCCCAAAAATTTCAACCTTATTGAATCTGAAGTACCAAAAACATATTGACGTCCTTTTTTTTTTTTCTTATTTCCACATTTACAAGTTATGTGAAAGTGAGAATGAGACTTAAAATTTTTAGCTTTCACATTTAAGATTCACACTGACCAAAGAAACTGATAAAGGCTCATATTTCAGTCAAAGTTTGAGACTTAAAGATCCGGTCAAGCTAAATACCGAAACGGACCTCTATATCAGTAAGGTCAACTGATAATTTATAAAGGAAGAAAGAGGGAGAGAAAAGCGTATTGAAGCATACTTTGCTCTGTGAACTAGTTGAAGTAACAAAAGTTCCTCGATCCCTTTTTGTTTTTTTTTTGTAGGAACACCACTAGTGTGTCCCACCAGATAAAAGGAGAAACGCTTTGCTATTACAGTAACCACTCTGCTTGTCAAAAACATTTAAAACCAGCACCCAGGTCATTCATCTCCTTCCAGTTACTAATTACTGAGATAATAACAGCATGTTCAGCTTCTGCGTAATTAAATACTGATTAGTGTTGATTCAGAATATTATTTAATACATCTGGGCTGTACCACCTTCTATCATCTGTAGTGTTTCTGTTCTGTAGAGTGAAACCATCGAACCTTACGTCTTATCCGTCTCTTAAGTAGGTCACAGAAAAGGGGAGATACGGAGGGACACAATGAGAGAACAGGAGGGAGTTCTCCCTGTTGTGCGCAGGAAGGTCAAAATGTTTAAGAAAGAAAAAAAAGGTTCAATGCTTTCTTTTTGTTCTTTGATCCAAGCAAGAATCAAAGACTTTGTTTTACAGCAAAGTAAGCAAGTGCAGAAATTGGCAGCATATCACAAAAAAAAAAAAAAAAACAGTACCCTTTCCGATTCATTCACAAAAAAAAAGAAAACTGAAGTCAAGAAGTGTTAATAATTTATCTCTCAAAACCATGACCAGACGCTGGCCTGTGCTCTCTTGACCACTGATGTGCGTTAATTGGTCCACAAGACATCAATCCACAAGTTGTGTCTGAAAGGAAGTTCTTACTTCGTGTTCTGCAAAGACAAACAAGTTACAATAATGAGCATTAACATTATAGGTTACCTCAATAATAAAAATAAGAATGAACATGCTGTACCTCATCTCTAGAAGCTGCAGGTGAGACATTCGGAGAGGAGCTGTAGGACACAAAACAGTAGTTCACCCAATAAAGAAAATTCAGTCATTAGTTATACTCATGTTGTTCCAAACCCAAAAGCAGACTCTGTTTTGCCTACAATTGCAGTACAAAGGGACGAGCTCCAAAAGAGTCCTAAAATCACCATCAAATGTTTCCATATAACTCAAACTTCACAAATCAATATGGTGCAGATTCGATGTCATAAGTTTGGTCATGAGATATGGTCAGCAAGGTTATTATTGTTAACTGAAATAAAGCTAAAATGAAATACAAATATTAGATGAAAAACAAACTAAAAGAAAATTAGAAATCTTACCGACAACTGAATGATAACTGAAATAAGTTTGCAAAAGCAATAAAAATGAGCTAGAAATAAATAGAAACTACAACTGATATAATTAAACCTTAATAGTAATGTTTAAAAAGAACTTAATAGAAATAATTTAAGAAACAAGTAAAACTAATAAAAGACCATCACATAGCAAAATTACAGTAAACTAAATGAAAATTTAAATGAAAACTGAAAATATAAAGATAAAAGCTACTTTAAAATATTAATAAAAACTATAATCGTATATGAATAATACTAAAGTAAAAAAAATACTAAACACTGATGCACAAGCCAATGATGTTCATGACATCCAACTATTTCATTTATTTACATTACATATATATATATATATATATATATATATATATACACACAGTATGGAACTGTATGGCTGAATTATTCCTTTAAAATGACACTTGCACTATCAACGGTACATTAGATTTTATGCGCATGAAATATGGGCACCTGCGTTGCCAGCAGTGTTCACAAGCTCATGAAATGAGTGGAGTGTGCTGCTTCATTACAGACTTTCATTTTTGTTAACTTTGATGCTTTGCATTGGTCAAACCTTTTATCTTAGAATCCTCTGAGAGTTCCCTCAGGGATGTGTTCTAGCATTGTGAAAGGCCTTGAACTTGAACTACACAAGTGTGTGCGTGGGCTTGGAGAGCCTCCATGAGCAGTGAAGAGAATCCTCCGAAACTCAAACAGGCAGCCAAACTGCTCATC